CATTGTGGAGAACAAAGCCATAAATAGATAGATAAAAGAAGACCAAACAATGCTCCTTTGTATGCCCCCACACGGCAGCGGAGGACCAAATAAAATTGAGATAGGGCGAGTGAATAATTAGCTAATGAAGCATAGTACAAAAAGTGTGATGAAAAAAAATAAGTTCATGCTTGAAAATTGAAAATAACCCGCTTACCTGATCATGCTCGCCGCTCAGCTGCAGTACAATGATGGTGTGCTCCATACATCGGCTGCTCTTTGCTGGTATGCACGGCGGGCTGTTAGAGTGCACAGCGGGGCGGCAGGGGTGGCATGCTGGATCATGCCTCCGTGACTCCGTGGAGCTTTTTCAGCGTCAAGCCACCAGGGTCATCAATATATATAAATGGTGGGATGCGGACATGTCACATGTAGAGGAGCACGAGCAGCACCATGATTCTTCATATGCCCACAGACACACAATGCATGGAATTAATGCTTGCTTGGTGGAGATTAATTTGTATGCTTCAGAGTAAGTATATTTATGGGCTGCTTGAAACCGAATGGATTCAAATCCCTCCACTTTCAATAGTGGCCACGTAGTGGAGGCACGGAGCCACAAAGACATGCACTGGATTTTTTTTTTTTTGACGTGGCAGCATGAGAAGCGAGAGAAATACTGTAGTGGGGATCTCCTATTTAGTTATAGAAGATTATATAGGCAAAAAAACAACTTCCTCCATCCATATAAAAGAATAAAATTCTCATTTTTCAACAAATCAAATAATTTAAATTTTATTAACGTTATATAAAAAGGTATTAATATTCATGATATGAAATAAGTGTCATTAGATTAACTACAAAATATATTTTCACAATTAATTTTATTGAAGACAAAAATGTCAATATTATTTATTACAAATTTGGTCAAACTTAAACTAGTTTTACTGACAAAAATCCTACAGTTGCATCCTCTTATGAAGCAGCTTCTCTATTGGGAGCTAAAGCTATTTTTAAGCTAAAGCTATTTTGAAAAACATTTAGCAAATACAGTTTTGTTATAATTTATTTATGTCGAGTTTGTGAGAAGAAATGAAGACAAGCTACGTTTTAACAGCTCCAGCTCTTCGGTAGGCTTTTTTGCCAAAGCCGTTTAATCGATGACCTTTTGGCAGGTCTTAAGCCGGAGACGGAGCCGCTACAGAAGCCTTTCTGGCAAACGAGCCCTTAGAGTACAGTCATCAGCTCTCCCCAAATATAGATACACCCAAAAACGAGCACTGAATGATGATCACAACTATAATTAGAATTTAGCATGCAGAGGTTGCCAACAACTCTCCCTAAATCTCCTACAACTAAAACGAACAAAGCGTGAACATTTTTTGGTGCGACATCCTCCCACAGTCCTGCCTGCTGCGTTCCCGCAGCCCTCGCTCTCCTACGGCCGTCCCTTGCGACAAAAACATCTTTACGTCGGTCTGCCTGGCGTGCGACGCTCGCTCCCTCCCTTCCGCTCCGCCAATCACGTGTTGCGACCATCTCCCTGCGCTCCCCCAATCACGCGCTGCGACCATCCATCAATCACGCCGCCGCACACGCCATCCCCATCCCTGCGCCCGCATCCGCTCCCTGAGTCCCTACGACCATCCATGAGCTCCCCGTCCCTACGACCATCCCTGAGCTCCCCGTCCCTACGACCATCCCTGAGCTCCCCGTCCCCGCTCCCTGCGGCCGCGTACACAGCTGCTCCCCATCCTCGCGGTCGCTCGCTCGCCCGCGTACGTCGCCGCTCACCATCCCCGCTCCCTACGGACGCGTACGCCGCCGTTACCCATCCCCGCTCCCTGTGGCTGCACACGCCGCCGCTCCCCGTCCCTGCACCCCATGTCACCGTCGCAACACCATCCCCATCGCTCCTCGCCCATGTCCAAATCCCACGGCCTTCCTTGTCGCGGATCCCGGTGGAACTTAGCGGTGGTAGTGGAGGACGCACTGGTGCGTGCTTCGTGGCCTCCATCTCGCTACGCTTCTCGAGGTCGGTGGTAAAGCGGAAGCGGCGCTTAGGGTTCTTGACGACGCTGCAGAAGCAGCGCCAGCGATGGAGCCTCCTTTGCATGAGTTCATGGCCTGCAAGCCCCCGAACCACATCTCCAGGTAGCTCTCCATCCTCCTCTCTGTCATGCAGGTTCTCCAGGATTTATCTGCGCTGATATTGATTTTTTGGATTATTGCATTGATCGATTGCATTCTTTCCAAGGGTATGCAGATGTGTCTTGTTTAAACGTTTGTTGTTTAGGCATGAATTCAGAACACACATGTTCAAATAAGTATGTCAGAAATTCAAGGATATAATATTCCTCCATACACAGTTGTGGCAATTTCATCCTTTTCGCCAATGTTACTTCATAGTGCAGATTGCATATGCAGGTCTTCTGATCCTCTTAAGTTCTTGTGCCATTATCTGAGAATTCTTGTGTGATTATCTGAGAATTTTTTATCAATTAATGAATGCCACGCACCTTTTATGAACAAAGGTTTGGTTAAAGTTTCACATTTAATGACACAATGTATCATTTTCAGTCCTATGAAGGCTATAGCTGATTTTTTATTCGTGATTGATCTCATGTGTTATAGATCTAATGCATTAGTTGTATAAAAATACTTTGATAAATATGCTCTACAAGAGGCATTGTGTACAGTCAAAACTGATAATAAAAATACATGTATGCAGTTTGCTCTGAGAGAGGAAGGTGGAGTTATCCTTTTGAAACTGTATACATTAAAAAAAATCTTGAGCATTAGCTGTCAGTGCTTAGGTTTCTTTGCCCTATGCAATTGTTAGGAATATATACAACTTTGGATTGCCTATAAAACACATTCTCTTTGGCATGTAACTTTAAGTGATTTTGCCTGGCATAGATAGATGTTCAGGTTTAGTTATATCAGTTTCATTGTATCATCTTAACCTTTTGACTCACGTCAATTGTATACATGACCCTTGTAGCTCATGTTAGCTTTTCTAATTTCAACAATCAGCTAGAGAGTGTAGAGCTGTTTAGAGTTCCATAATACAAAACATAGACTGAAACTTGGTACTAAACTTGTCAGTTTGCTTCCTAGCATGGTGCGCTTTAGACAGTGCGGGGCTCATCCGCGTAAACGACATAAGGCGTCATTTCTACCTGTTATGTGGAAGATTGAATGACTGAAGCAAGTTGGTATTGTAAATTTGTGGAAAGAGTGAGAATTGCAGTGTCTTTAGTTCACTACCATAAAATGCCTAATAAAAGTATATTTTCAGTGAGCATTTTTAGTGAACAGATTTGGACCTGCACTTTTGTATTGACATCGCTTCTTTGAGTTTTTGTGAATGGCTCGATTCTACCATGAGCAACTTCTGTGCCTTATAGTTTCATTATACCATGAGCAACTTTGTGTGTTTAAATTTTGAAAGTTCTACATATATCTTGGAAGATCTCTTCAGCAAACTATTATGCTTAGTAGGCTCCAGGGTCCTCATGTTGTGTGCTCACTAAATGTTTGGCGTGAGATTTGTATATAACTCGAAGGAAAAGTCTCTCGTGCTACTGACACACAATTTTGACAATCTATTACTCACCATTAAGAAATCAGCCACACTTTATTTCTCCCTGTATTATGGTGATTATTTTCCTTTGCAGTTAACTGATATGGAATTTATATTTGGTGCGGGTTGAGACGATCTCACTTTAAGATTTTCTGACTTCGCTATGCAATGCAACAAGCTTCGAAAGGTCATTGTCTGGATTTCTCTGGTGTACTAAGTTTGTATTTTGTTATTATTTCTCTGGTGCACTAAGTTTGCATACAATGTAGGTACTTCTCTCGTCATAAATTTCTAAAATTTCGATCATCTTTGAATTACTAAGTCTCTCTGCAACCCATTTGTTTCCCAGGTAACTCAATAGTTTCAGTCTCTCTATTGACATTAAAGGTTGACTTGCGGGTTTTTACTTACACTTCAGTTCTTTGTTCTCTACGGCCAGTGAGCTAGAAAAAAAAATCGAAGGTGCATTTGACCAGGAAGGAGGTGCCTAATGAAGTTTACAGATTTGTTTATGTTCTGAATATTAGCAATTTGCATGGATAAAAATAAAAATGGGATTTCAGTAATATGCATATGATTGCACGTGTGCAAATCGGTCCTCGGCTCTCATTATTGAGTTAATAATCTCCATTGCCATTGTTGTAGTTTTTTTACCACGAGGACGTTACCCTTTTTAAAATATTAATCATGCAGCTGTGTAGTATTTTAGTTTTTTTTTACCACTGTGAAGTTACCAGTAGGAGTGCGTCTCCGAGTTCATCTCTTTCGTCCCCAGAGCAAGTGAGTTCACACCGCCCAGAGCTACATGGATCGGTGATGGGGGCCAACCATCATCAAAATAAAGGATACCCATGTGTGGAAGACTAAAGGATTGATTATTAGAGTATCACGTATGTTAGTTGATTCTATACTTCATGGAGAATTTATCTCAAGCTGTAAGCTGAACACTGAAAGTTCAATCAACTGATGACCTTAGGAGTTGCAAAGAGTTTCCTGCATAATAGTTGCATCGGTTCTGCATTTTCAAAGTTTTTTGAACTTTTTTAGGTCTACACAGTAGAGTTTATGAGCCTGCGACGCTGTGCTTTCTATGACTGTTAATTTCACAAGATTTGCGTTTTGGATTAAATATCACCTTAACGTCGGTTAATTTCACAATATTGTTATCTTATCGTGCGATCCGTGTGTTTTTAGTACAAAAGTTTAGCTGCACTGTAGCAACGCACGCACGAACCTAGTATTGATATACATCCAAAAACGAGCACTAAATGATGATCACAACTATAACTAGAATTTAGCACGCAAAGGTTGCTAATATAAAAAGGTTTACAGTCAGCTAACGAGCTTGCACACAAAATGGTCACACATCACAATTATTTCCATGATAGATGCCAACCGATTTATACAGACGGAATAAGCACAACTGCTGCATCTATCAAGATGCCAGGGATATAGCAGCGACATAGGCAGGTTCTTGGGTCAGGGAAGGTTCACTCAGACCGTATTCCTCCCATATGAAGGTTCTAGGGTCAGGGCAGGTTCCACTGAACTGAGCCTGCGAAAAGTTGAACCCTGGTCTCTACAAATGGTAGATACCAGAATTAGAAAAGGTGCGTGCGGTAGACGTGGTTCAGGCGGATAAAACACATGTTAAGGGCACGGTTTTATCAAACTAGCAGTAGCACATACAGAAAACTTATACTCGTTGAAACTAGCAGTAGCACATACTGAAACTGTAGTCTGCACAGCAGAGATGAACATAACACCCCCTAATCACTAAAAAACTTGTAGTCATTGAATATTATCCGGGCACAGGGGGAGAAACGGCTTCTAAGACTATTTGCTACCATCTCTTGTTCATCTCCCTTCTTTGGAAATTTGCATTTGCTTGTAGTAGTAGGAACACAGATCGCAATGCACTTCTTGCAATACTGTTCTTCCAGAACAACTGACTGCAGGTTGGAAGCTCGCTCCATCACGGCTCCTATAAATGTGATATGATCTTCATTAGCACTGAAACCATCTAGTCGAAGTTCTTTTATAGGCAAACACTTGGAAAAGTCCTCACATCCACACATTTCCCATGGTACATTAGTTCTTTCTCCATATAATTCATTCCTTTCCTCCTCACCAATGCAAATATGGTCACACACCTGCATACATATAGAATGAGCATGTCATTATGAAGGGAAAATGAAATAACATTTTAGTTTCAGTAGTCATAGTTCTTTATATGCAGGGGATAATTACAATAAGCACCACACACTTTATATGTATGCATTTGTTTGACTATTGAGCGACGACTGTATTAGAAGAAAAGGATGTAAAACTTCAACTACCTTTGCAGCCTTATATGATTTCTGTGTCTATTTGTTTCTTGATCCTCTTATTCAATTTTATATCCACAAGAAAGTTGAGTTTGGACTTGAAATTTTAATTGTTTGTATATCAAGGATATCTACATGTGTGAGCTTTCACTTCAAGGAAGTTAAGGTGCATACATATTGACAAGTCGACATGATATAGGATTATAGCACATTGTCAGACCTCTAGATTTTGGTTGTACATCAATTTAAATCATATCAAGAACTAAAGCTTGTTTGGCAGATTGTTGCAGCAAGATAAGCTCCGCATATCCATGAAGCCCCTGAAGCCATGGGTACTTCGAGGTGATCCATTTTCTAATTATTTTAGAACAAAAATAGAGACTTAGTCACTTTATTTTAGCCTACAAACTACAGATTCTGCGTGGAGCTGAGAGTTTAGCAAGAAAACAGGACCTATGTGTTCATTCCTAGAATATCACTTTAAATAAAAAAATATGGAAGATACTAAGGTTTTCAACTAAACATGAGTATGACGGGGTGAAGGTGAACCCTGCCGATTTTGTTAAGTGTGCTTTTCCTGCACAGGAATTACTTATAATTGTTTGCCAGGTAAACACACAAGCAGTTGTTCTGCCAGAGGGCAGCTTGGCCATAGGCCGCTTGTTCTCATTATATAGAGATAGCAAACTTGGTTTACAAGGAATAGTTCAACCACTACAGCATATTCTACTGCATAAAGCAGATGCTTACTTTTTTATAGATGCCAAGGCAACTAGCTGAAAACAGCATTACTAGGAATAGTAAATAGCTAAATAGATAACTAGATACATAGAGCAGCACTCTCAATAATCCAATAAACAGAACTAATAAAACCAGAGACAAAGAACACCAGAGCATTTTAAAACTTTTATAAAAATATATTGGCCAAATTAACAAATTAAAAAAAGCACCTCAACATGTAGTATCTCAAGGTAGTGCGCAGCTTCAAGAAGTGTTATTGTCCACAATAGGCCAAATCCAACAAATATACCCTGCAGGCTCAATGCCCTCAGATTGCTAAATGCTGAGTGAAGTTGATTTTTTTCTGGCTGTAACCAAATCTGGAGACAAGAAATGATGAAAACTATAAGAAAAATAAATGTTCTGAGTGTATATCAGATCAAACGTGCTAACCAAATGAATTATTAATAATTAAAACAATTACTTCTAAGATCATAGTGCAATGTAAACAAAACTATGTCAATGAACGCCTACAGAATGTACGATATGTGACAATAACAAATAAACTCTCAGGTTTATCTTTATAATGATGTAAGCATAAATGCACTGCAAATGAAAACCGCAATGGCAGTAGCAATGATGAAAAGACGAACATATTACCTTTTGTCCTTGGAAATCCAATGCTAGAGTATTTATGCATTTTGTACCACATAGAAGCTCACTTAACTTGAATGGACTCCGATAGATTCCATTGAAGAGAATATCTCTACTTCCTTGAGACATGGAACATCTCCCAAAGTTAAGGGCAGGTATGGCGATATCCAATAGCCATATATAAGTATCTCTTATGCACTATATTAATATAAATAGTACTAGCAGCAACAGAATGTACATAATATGCAGAAGTGAGGTACCACCATAATTAGAAGTACTCCAAAGTATGTTTATCTGCAACAAGTAGAACTGTAGTAGAGGACATATCTTAATCATCTCTATCTAGGCATATCATTTATTTAAATTTCCATAAAGACCCCACTCGTGTCGGAGCCGCCAGCACTTGGTCTGTCCTTTTATCTCTATCTCTACACCTAAAAGACTCTAACGTCATCATCTACCCGGTGATACCAAAGTCTCGATCCATGATCACATGTCCGTGTCCGATATGGAATCATCCCCCATTCGGAGCTCACGTGTCCGATACAAAATCGTTAGAGCTCACGTGTTCACATCCCATTACGGAGGTTCAGTAAAAAAAATCGTAACCTCGGTGCAACGCACGGGCATGTATCTAGTATAATACCATATCAGAAAGAACAATTATAACCTTAAGAAAGTAACTAGTAACAGAGATGTTTCAAGATAGAACTTACATGGGTATGTCCGGCCTCATGTGCCATCAAGACGACACAAGCTTGCAAGCCTTTGAAGCTGAGATGAAATAAATCAGAATGCTTGTGTTTAATTATATAGAGCTGAGTAGATCCCTCCAAACACAAGCATAGACCAGCCTTCAATCCAATTGTAAGACTTTGATTGATGGTGCGATGAAACAATTCTGTACTCTTGTGTCTATATTTGTATATGGGTGTGCAGATTCCTCCAAATACAATTGGATTGGAGGGGGAAACTGGAGATGGAACAATTATGTACTTGTGTTTATTTATATAGGCGTAAGTGTCTCCAAATACAGATCGGACCAGCTCTGAAACCCGAAAATAAACTGCACTCCGACCTTTAAGTCCGTCGACCATTGCAGTTGCAGCCTGGAAATTCTTCGGACAGAAAAAGGTTTGGACCGTGGGGCAGGGGCTCGGGGCTCGCCCCGGCGATGCATGAGGCGGAGGAAGGGGCTGGCGGCGGGGTGTGGGTCGGTGGAGGGGAGCTGTGGCGGCGCCCGCTGGACGGAGCGGAGGATGATGGAGATCGGCAGTAGGCTAGCCCGGCCCACTAAAAGGTGGAGGCGAGCTGCCGCGTTGGGCTGGGCCAGGGCGTTGAGGCCGCGAGATAGGTGGTAGCCGGCGCACGGCGGAAGAAGGGATGCAGGCGACAGAGGGCTCCAGCGCTCGATTTTTAAAAAAAAAATTATATAGACACAAAAAAAAATACTACCTCTATCCATAGAAGAACTCATGAAAATATTATTTTTCAAGAAGTATAAAAAATTAAATTTTATTAAAGTTATATAAAAATATTAATGTTCATGGTATAAATAAGTATTAATAAATTAATTAATTAAGGAATATATCTTTATAATTAACTTTATTGAAGACACAAAAGTCAATACTATTTGTTACAAATTTGATCAAACTTAAACTAGTTTTACTGGCACAAATCTCATAGTTGCATCCTCTTTTGAAGCAACTTCTCTAGAGGAGTTAAAGCTATTAAATTTTTTTAGCAAATACAGTTCTAGTCCAGTGATAGTTTTGTTATAATTTGTACCAAGTTTATGAAGAGAAACTTCTCTAAAGGATTTAAAGCTACATTAAAAAAATTAGCAAATACAATTCTAGTGATAGTTTTGTTATAATTTGTACCAAGTTTATAAAAAGAAACGGAGAGAAGCTACATTTCAGCAGCTCTAGCTCTCTGGTAAACAAACGGCTTCGGAGGAGTCAGGCTCTCTTTTTTTTTTTTTTTTTTGGCAAAGCTGTTTTCTTGGATGACCTCGTGAAGAGGAAGGGAGAGGAGAAGCTACCTTTAGAAGCTCTAGCTCTTCGGTAGACAAAAAGCTACAGAGGAGCTTTTTTTTTTTGGCCAAAGCCATTTTTTGGATGACCTTTTGGCAGGTCTTCAGCCCGGAGCCGGAGCCGCTACAGAAGCCATTCTGGCAAACGAGCCCTTAGACTACAGTCACCAGCTCACCCCAAATATAGATACATCAAAAAACGAGCGCTGAATGATGATCACAATCACAACTATAACTAGAATTTAGCATGCAGAGGTTGCCATCAGCTCTCCCTATATATATATTGAACATCCAAAAACGAGCACTGAATGATGATCACAACTATATACAGCCTGTTCGGGAGGCCGTATCGTATCGTGGATTATTTACTGCTGACTGGTTTGGTGTGAGAGAAAAACACTGTTCCTGGCTAGAAATTTACGATCGTTTACGAGCAAGTACAAGCTGATAATTAGAATTTAGCTCGCAAAGGTTGCCAAAAAGGTTTACAGTCAGCTAGTGAGCTTGCACAGAAAATGGTCACACGTCACAATTATTTCCATGATACACGCCAACCGATTTACAGACGGAATAAGCACACCTGCTGCATCTTACAAGATTCTGGGGATATAGCAGCAATAGGCAGGTAGGGGGCTTCACTCGGAGCGTATTCCTCCCATGAAGGTTCTTGGGTCAGGGCAGGTTCCACTGAACTGAGCCTGTGAAAAGTCGAACCCTGGGTTCTACAAATGGTAGATAACGGAATTAGAAAAGCTGCATGCGAAATGAAACTCAAAAGGCGTATGATAAGAGTGTTGCATGTCATAAGGAACTTATACATACGTTATACATAGTTATACTCCAGAATGGTATTATTCAGTGTTCGGGTTTAGAGATGGGTCTTCAAAAAAGTGGACACTGTTATTTTGCCATTTTTGCTCTTACTACCACGCCTCGTGTAAACATGGCAGTGTTTTGCCATTTTTGCTCTTACTACCACCAAATCTTTCTATATGAATCCTGCACCCAAACCGCGGCCAAACAGCGTGCCACGTCACCGGCTTTTCGCGGCCGTTCGATCGGGCGCGTGGAGGGCCCAGATCGGGCGATCCGCGGTCATTTTACGGAAAACCACTTTAACTTTTCGTAAATCAACCTGCACTCCAGAGGTCCTCTCAAAATATTTTGCAAAAAAGACCTCAAATTATTTCGAAATCAACCCGCAGTCCAGATCGGATGGGCTCGAACCTTCTCGCCTGCCCCCGCCGCCGTTGCCGCCCTCGCGTGCCTCTTCCTCTCTCTCCCTCTCTCCGACGTGGTGGCGCAGCCGAGAGGCCCAAAACGCCGCCTCCGCCGCTGCGCTCTTGCGTCGAGCCGCCGCAGACCGTCTGCTGCTTGCTGCTTCGCTTGGCGCGCTTCGGGTGGCGGAGTGGTTACTACTCCCCGCTTGGCTTCTAGTCGGTGTGCTGCGCGCGCCCATTGGGCCGTGTCGTGCCATTAAAGCCGACGCCTTTGGGTTTTCTCTCCACCTCTCTATTCGCCCCGCTCTCCCACCCTCTCCCTCTCTAGTCGCACATTGGTGCTGCACGCCTTCCCCCCTCTAGTGCGCGGTCGGGCGGGTTCCGCCCTTTGCTCGGGAGCTCGGCCAAGGCCTCCAAGTCCAAAGCCCTTGCGCCCTCTTCCCGGGCGTGCCCCTCCGGAATTCTTGCCTTCTTGGGGCCCGATCTCATGTGCCGGTCCCGCCACGCTTGGTGGCGCCGGGTTTGATTCATGGCGTTCTTGCAAATTCGGTGATTTGGGCCCCTGGATGGCGAGGATTTGAGTGGATTCGAGGGAACAAGTGGAGGTGGGAATTGATTTGGTTCGCCACTTGGCCGTGGTATGTGCCATGAGGAAGCTCTTCTTCTCCGAGTCGGACTGCAAGGAGACCAAACTCCACTCCGCGCCCCACTCATGGCTGCCTCTCGAGAGGGGAAGCTCTCCAAGTTCTCCGGCCATGCCGCCACTGGCTCCTCCATGTAAGCTCCCGCCCGTTGCTTGCTCTGCCGTGATCCGATTTCGAGATTGATTTCGCAAGATGTGCTCGGTTATGCCTCGAATTGTGTTCCACAAGACTCGGTCTTTTAGGTTCGATGTTGATTTGGTTTGTGCAAACTTGGTTGATTGAGATGTTCATCCTCTTACATACGTGTTGCGAGAGATTCCTTGATGAAGATGCCGAGCCGGCGGTGCTTCCGCACTTCAAGCCCGCTGGATGCACAAGACGCGGGGGCTGGGCGACGCCTTGGCGCCGTCCCGACATGCGCGCCACGGCGCCCATGGTCACCAAGCGAGCGGATGGTCCATGACCCACGGCGGTGCTGGCGCCACTACGAGCCACGGCCGGCCAGCCCTCTGTGCACTCGCTTGTTAGAAGATGTTGAGCATGTCGCCAGATGCAGCGTAGCTCCTTCTCCTGTAGTAGTATCTATTATGCGTACAAGGTGCTCGATCAAATGCCGTGCCCATGCTAAATTTTATTATGGTATGCCTCTCATATCTGGATCTCCTCACTCTCTGCCAATTTCCAAGACTGCTGAAATATTTGGATTTTCTGGAACTTTGTTTTGCCCTGCACAATGTTGACTCCCAACTGCAAGATTTTATTATTTTTCTTTCAATGTAAAGACCTGTAGTTTTGAAACCTAGGGGACAAATACGTTGAGAAGACAAAGAAAAAGGCTATCTACAAATATTAGCGGTAGTATATAGAACTACAACTCATAGCCTTCTATGTATTTCACCATTCAATTGCTGAGATTTGCTTGCACAGTCTGATTATAAGTGAAGTAATTTTCGTATGAAAAATTATATAGCTGGTTTAAGAGAGAGTGGTTTATAAGGAAACGTTGTGCACATATGTTGATATTTCTAAAAAAAGATACGGAATGTTGCCCATGTATTTGTAGGTCCCTTGTCCTTGCATGAGTTTTTCTGAGTCTGAATACTATTCTAAGCACCCATTTATGATAATCTCATCATGGGGACATTTAATCTTAAGTTATTATATGTCATTCTTCTGGTGAAAAGAGATTAGGGAAGTAATATTAAACTCCACAGTGTCACTTCTATTCACAAAGCCACGCACAGCTGATTTCACTGTGCCTTATTTGCACTAATTTCATGCTTTGATAGCTATTTTGGGAACATATCACAATATCAGAGACTTATGCCCAACCCAGCTTCATATCCTTGCAATGCAAGTGCCATATTTTACATCAAAGTAAATCTTCATCATATAATATTCTTCAGTTCTGTTCTATCGCTAGCAGGCCATATGTATTCACTATCATGTTGGGTTGTTTGTTTTCTTTCTTTCTTTTGAGGAGCATGTGTGTTCCCACTCCTTTTCTTCACAAGATGGACACTGGCAAATTGTTGTTCGCTGACTGCCACCCAAGAGCTGATCATATGAATGATTTAAATTAATGGTGGTATACAGACCAGACCCGGCCCGTTGCAGTTTTTCTATGTATATCAAATTAGATTTTACTAAGTGCAAATGAATGATGATAAACATATGTTAATCTTTGTAGCTTTTGGGCAATCCAACTATGTCAATTTGGGAATCGCTGCCAAATTCCAGTATGCTGTAAACACAAATCTTCATACATTTACGCATTATATTTACATTTTTAATTTGGGCCTCCTATATTGTTGCTTCAATTTTATACTGCAAACTTGAATCACTGGTGTTGTATATGTTCCAAATGAATTTACGCCATTATACTCCAATTAAAGCACCACTGAGGATATAAACATACATATCTAGCATTTTCATATTACCCAGTATCCTACACAAAATTATGTTTTTTTTTTTGAGAAACACAAAATTAAGTAAACAGTGGCCATCACAGAGATGGCGCGGCAACGCCGCGCCCCATTTTTTCTAGTTACTACAAAATAGAGCCAGGGTATTCTCTTTATTATTCTGATGTTTGACAATACAGAGTTAGGCTACCACACCCACAGTAAACTTCTCTTATTAGCAGTAGATATTTTCTATGATTGCAGAATTTGGCAAGATCAGTTCTAGGAAATAACTACCAGCAGCCTAAGCATATTATCATAAAAACAATTCAGCAAGTTAGGATAGGCTAGAGTTGAAACTCAACATGAGCCCAGCCACGGTTCAGGCATGTCAATAGCTATTTTCCAAGCACTCCTATCCAGACAAAGATCTCTAGGTATATCCCAACCCTTTCAATCTCTTTTTATTGCCTCCTCCATGTCAGCTTCGGTGTTCCTCTACCTCTCCTCACATTGATATCTTGACTTAGAACTCCACGATGCACTGGTGCCTCGGAAGGTCTCCTTTGGACATGGCCAAACCACCTCAACCGATGTTGGACAAGTTTTTCTTCAAATGGTGCTACCCCTAGACGGTCACGTATATCATCGTTCCAAACTCGATCCATTTTTGTGTGAACACAAATCCAACGCAACATACGCATTTCCACGACACTCAGTTGTTGGACATGTCATTTTTTTTAGGCCAACACTCTGCTCCATACAACATAGCGAGTCTAATCGCCGTTCTATAAAACTTACCTTTAAGCTTTTGTGGTACCCTCTTGTTACAGAGAATGCCAGATGCTTGCCACCACTTCATCCACCCTGCTTTAATCCTATGGCAAACATCTGCATCAATATCTCCATCCTTCTGCAGCATCGATCCTAGATAACGGAAGGTATCTTTCTTAGGCACCACTTGACCTTCCAAACTCACCTCTCCCTCATGTGTAGTGTTGCCAAAGTCACATCTCATGTATTCTGTTTTAGTTCGATTTACTCGAAAACCTTTGGACTCAAGGATCTACCGCCACAATTCCAGTTTCCTATTTACTCATGTCTGGCTTTCATCAACTAGAACTACATGGTCTGCAAACAACATACACCAAGAGATATCCCCTTAAATGTCCCTAGTCACTTCATCCATTACCAAGGCAAAGAGGTACGGGCTCAAGGCTGACCTTTGATGAAGTCCTATTTTAATCGGAAAGTAATCTGTATTACCATCATTTGTTCGGACACTAGTCACACCATTGTTGTACATGTCCTTGATGAGGGTAACATACTTTGTTGGGACTTTATGTTTGTCCAACGCCCACCACATAACATTCCATAGTTTCTTGTCATAAGTCTTCTCCAAGTCAATGAAAACCATGTGTAGGTCCTTCTTCTGCTCCCTAAACCGCTCCATAACTTGTCTTACTAAGAAAATTGCTTCTATGGTTGACCTTCCGGGCATGAAACCGAATTGGTTCGTAGATACCTGTGACGTTCCTCGCAGTCGATGCTCGATAACTCTCTCCTATAGCTTCATCGTGTGGCTCATCAATATAATTCCTCTATAATTAGTACAACTTTGGTTGTCTCCTTTGTTCTTATAGGTTGGTACCAATATGCTTCTTCTCACTTCTCAGGCATCTTGTTCGATTGATAGATATTGTTGAACATCTTCGTTAGCCATACTATAGCTAAATCTCGAGACACCTCCACACCTTGATCGGAATACCATCAGGGTCCATCGCTTTATCCACTTTCATCCTTTTAGAGCTTCTCTAACCTCCTGCACTTGGATCCTACGCATAAAGCGCCTATTGGTGCCATCAAACGAGTTGTCCAACCAAACGGTGGAGTTCTCATTCTCTCCATTGAACAGCTTATCAAAATACTCTTGCCATCTATGTCTGATCTCATCCTCCTTCACCAAGAGTTGTTCCCTCTCATCCTTAATGCATTTGACTTGGTTGAAGTCCCTTGTCTTTCTATCACGAGCCCTAGCCATCCTCTAGATATCCTTCTCTCCTTCATTCGTATTCAGATGTAGGTAAAGACCCTCATAAGCCCGCCCCTTCACCTCTCTCACCACTCGTTTTGCAGTCTTTTTTGCCACCTTGTACACACTAGAGTAATACCAACAACTGTACTTTTAAGGAATGGAGGAATGAACATACACAATATCATAAACGAAACATGCCCCTGCAAGTCCTAAAACTCTGGACTCAACCAAGTATTCTCCAGCTCTAGCTTATTACACAACACCAATCATTTTCAATTCAAAGTTACCACACCCAAGTGAATCATGCAACCTACATAGTTTTAGGCCCTTAATCAGTAACAATCATGAGATTAGTCCAGATCGCAGGAAAACTGGTCAGATTCAAATTCAAACTGGCTAGATTGGTTGTTATTAGCTTGCCTAATTAGTCAACGATGGGACAATTATTACCAAATGATGCTCAACCATCTTAGCTACATTCTCTTAATCAGTTACAATCATGAGATTAGTCCAGCTCCTTTAACAAATTCAAACTGGCTAGATATCGTTATTAGCTTGTTTATCGTACTCTGATTCAACCATCTTAGCTACATTCTCTAGTTACATTGCAAGCTCCTTTAACAATACGCAAATTTGAATGCGAAACTAATCTTGCCAAACAAGACTTTTTGATCGGATCTGTAATTTGACATGAGGCATTAGAATGCAAACCATGTTAATATGGTCGGTGATTCAATATCCGGCCCTGCTTCATATTGTATTCATGTACAAATAATTTGAGTTAGAAAACTGAAAACAACTCAACAAACTAAGAAAAGAAAGTAAAGCGTGAAAGCATGAGATAGGAATACACAGCAATGAAACTTGTACAGGGGAGGGGGGGGAGGGAGAGAGATCAAACCTCTTCTTGAAACCTTTGGAGTATAAGCCGCTTTTGCTCTTGATCTGCAGCATATGGATCCAAAATTCCTTGCCCTTGTATTGGAGATGACCATGTTTTCCCCTTCTCTCTTTTTTGCAGTGTGATATGCATCTCACCATCCTCTGTATTGTCATCACCATTGCCCATGTTAAAAATGATGTTAAAAATGATAGTCAATAGATGTATATGGCTCAGATGTCGTTACAGACATATCCTAATATCCATAGTACTAAATTTCATGTGAGTGGCAGATGCTAGCATGCCAGTAGCAGATGTTCAAAAAATCATCACAGCACAGAAGCATCCTAATTGTTGTTTCTAGCAAAGCACGTTGTCAAATTCACTTGTTCTGTAGATTGGCAGATAATATGACTAACTCAGATTATAAAAAAAAACAGCCAACAATAGCCAATACTTGATGCTAGCGAGTTTCTACCATAAACTATACAGACTGATAAGATCATTGGCATGAAACTGATACTGCATTTGTCACGAAAGATATATTCATATCATAATATTTATGATAAGCTGATAACTATTGCCAGCATAAGTAAGACTATAAAAGGTCAAAGATGTGTACTGGAGACATATTTTGTTGTCTAAAGCGACTAGTAAGACACAAAAGGGTACCAAATCAGTAGCAGCTGTACAATTGTACTCATCAACAATTTCTGCTATCTAGCTATCAACTAACCCTGGTAAAAACTAAAGCCACCCAATAATATCCAACGATTATCAGTACAGGTGCTAAGTAGTTTTTTTTTTTGTATCAGCGAAGCAGGAGCAATCGCTTTCATCAACTATTAATAGGTAAAAAGAGCCATTTTTTCGAAGAACAATTTCAAGAGCACTGAGAAGAAATACTACAGAAATCAATAGCTACAGTTCAGGCTCCTTATTGTTGGGTTCACGTGCGTCGTCATGCTAGCAAAATCACCCAAAAAATTTTCAATAGGCGAGATGGAAATCTAAACTCCGCCCTATGTTGTTTGTCAAACGATAAAGGAGGAGGGTTGTGATAGACGTCGAGCCAATGTTAAATCTAGCCATTCTAATGGAGATGAAACCGAAAGAAAACCGTTGAGGCGTAACCCTCTTAGAGGAGCGCATAGCGAGCCGGGTATTTGAGGAGGGCGGTCGAACCCCCCGTGCCGAAACAGGTCTCAAGTGAGCAAGGATCGGGTCGTCGCCTTAAACAGGCCCTAAGACAGTGAAAAAGGAAAGGTACCAAATCAGTAGCAGCTGTCGAACAATTGTACTCATCAACAATTTCTGCTAAAAGAAGTATCTGAGCTATCAACTAACCCTGTTCAAAAAACTAAAAAGGGTCGGAAGACCAATAATATCCAACGATTATCAGTACAGCTGCTAAGTAGTTTTTTATTTGTATCAGCGAAGCAGGAGCAATCGCTTTCATCAACTATTAATAGGTAAAAGCACCATGCCAATTTGACAATCATCGAAGAACAATTTCAAGAACACTGTTCATGAAGATGTCAGAAATACTACAGAAATCAATATCTACAGTTCAGGCTCAAGAACGACGAGTTCGGCCACACCTATTGTCCAGAACGACGAGTCGGTCTTCACGGGGTGCGTCAGGTCATGCTGCAAAATCACCCAAAAAAATTTCAATAGACGTATGGAAATCTAGGGAATTGAGTGGAACTGAATCGCAAGCGAGCCTTGAGGAGGAGCACAGACGTTGAGGTATGGCGGGTTGCCGCGGATGCCGACCTCAACGTGGCTGGCCTGGATGGTGCAGTGAAATAGCTTGGTGGGCACGCCCTTGGGGAGCTCGATGTACATATTCACCTCCTCCAGCGTCTGGTCCCACTCGAACACCTTCTGCCCTGCTCATTGAGGGGATGGGGATCGAACCCTAGGTCAGAGAGGTGGGGTGGCGCGGGGAAGGCGGGCTGTGGAGGATACGAAGGAGGGAAGCGGCTCACCGTTGTGCACGAAGGTGTGGCGCACTTCTCCGGTGCCAGGTTCTCCGCCATGGCTGGCAACTGGGTGGGAGTCCTCCAGACGCTTCTAGAAGATTCCGGATTCTGGCTCGCGTGACTCTACTTAGGTGCGGGTAATGGCCCTCGAAGAGGGAGAGCGGAACTGAGTGAGCGAGGACGGTTGCGGCGACGGCCTACAAGGATGGGATGAAGAAGCCGACCACGATGCTTGGTCCGCGCTCGAGGAGATGCTTAACAAGAAGGGTGCCTCCGCCCCGCCCCCCGCCGCCGCAGCGCCGATCGGCGATCCGGCTCCGCGCTCCTGCGGTCGTGGCCCTGTCGCCCGCCGTGGGGAGCCGCCGGGCCGGATTCAGTGACTTGCAAAGTTGCCTCAGTCTCCATCCTCCAACTAGCATCTAGCGGCTGCAGAGATTTCCAGGTCATTAGCCCACACACAGAGCACAAGCTATTTCTAGCAAAAGATTCTAACAGTTTGCAGGTTGAAGCAAATATGACCGGCAGCAGCTCACTTTCGAGAATAAAACTGGCAGCCAACAAAGTAATACTGCTGAAAACTACACAAATAACTGTTACATTGTATACATGTTCAACAGATAGTGGAAATACATGTTTGCATTGGCGGTCACAGGGATCAAGTTCGGAACGAATATACGTGATAGAAAGCACCAATTGAAGAAAAAGAAATATGGAGGCAAAGTCATCAGGTTTGTAGAGTTTTAATTTCCAAGCACAAATACATGGCAGATTCACTTATACAATATAAGACCATGAAAAATATTACCCAAAGAATTAGCCTTAGATAGAAGACTATAGCTATTCACGTGCCTAAACCTTGACTCCTTCTGCTGGGTTTGATCTTTCACCCTAATTTGTTTGGGACTTAAAGGCTTTGTTGTTTTATTCTCATGTTCTTTGTAACGATGGAAATCTAGGGAAGAGTGGAAGCCAAATTTCCTTGAGGAGGGCACAGACGTTGAATATGGTTGAGCCGCGGATGCCCTTCACTTGACAACTAGGCCCAAAAACTATAGTTAGCCACACAAGACTATAGTGAGCCCTGTCCAAAATACTATCAAGTCGGAGTAGTAATTTTTTTAAAAAAAATCTAGTCAAATGTAAAATTGTTTGACTTCATAAAATACGAGATGTGTATTTATTTTAGGACGAAGGGAGTACATACCAGGGTTGGCCGATACAGAAACCAATCACTCCCAACAGAAACCAATGATGCCCACGTAGAACATTTCATATGGAACACTTTGACCGGGAATAGAAAAGTGCCAGGTTTCTTTCATAAGAAATGACTTGGGAAAAGTAGCTCACGGATCCTATATGAAAAATGTGTTTCCTAAGATTGGAGTCTCTAGGGGATATTTTATTATAGCAAATCAGTATTTTACACACATTTTGTATTGGAAACCAAATACAAAATTCGAATTCAAATTTAAATATAAAGACATTGACGGTACCATAAGCATTGCATTGACATTCATGAACCCATACATGCATTGGATTGTCACGATATATGATCATGATGGTCCCCTAATACATATCGACTACAAACTGTCACATAACATCCAGCATTAGTTTCAAAAGGGCATGGATATCCGTAGCTACATTCTGTCCAAGCCATGTTTCGGCAAGAAAATATATCAAAACAATGGAAAATCATCCAGCGGAGGAGAGTAAGGGTTCTACAATTAATACTGCCGCCAAGAATAATTAAGTTCAACATACTGTTTGAGAAGACATAATAATACATGTTCCTCAACTATTAACTTCCAAACAGAAAAAAAAACATTTGATACTATTCACCGAATAAGACGCACCACATGTTCTATGACTTTTTAGTTCCCAAAAATTATCTGAACATTGCAGTCAGGCATGTCTCTAATCAGCTGCTCAACTGCAACGTCCTGCTCGCCCTTTCCCTTTGGGAACACCCGTTCTGGTGGTAATCTTTCACAACGAGTAAGTGCACCGATCTCATCACGGTCATCACAAGGTTGGTAATCTTTTAGGACAATGGTTTGTAGGTTGGAAGCTCGCTGCATCACAGCCCTTATAAGTGCTATTTGTTGCTCCATTGGGCTAAAGCCTGTAACATGCACCTCTTTCAATTGCCATTCCTTACAACTTTTGAACTAAGCTACATTCCATGATGGATTTGTTCTTTCACCAAAAGTTTTCCTTCTACCTTCTGTGTCTACTATGCATGGATGTTCCTATATCTGTACAGAATGATACATAAAAAGAGTAGATTCCTTTAAGAAAAGAAGATAATTGTGGAACTTTGGTTATAACAAAACCACCACACCGCCCTCCAAATACAGAAAGGTTTGAACCAACCTTATCTTGTAAAGGAAAACATTTAATAAACAGAAAACAAGCAAATAGAAGTACCTCGATATCAAATATCTCAACTGATGGCGCGGCTTCAAGGAGAACTATCATCCATAACAAATCGAATTCAACAAAAATACCATGTAGAGATAACTTCCTCAGCTTCTTGAATGCAGTGCAGAGCTGCTTCCCTTCCGGTTTTATCCAAAGCTGAAGAAACATAAATGCGGAAATAACAGTTACTATGTTTTCTAGATCATTAGATCATGCTCAATTATGTCAGCCGTTTGATATTTCAGTTATTAGCTAAACACAAAAATGAAGGGATTTGCTAGCTATAGACATACCCAAACAACAATGCACGAAAATGAGTGAGAGTTTACCTTTTCTCCTTCGAAATTTAATGTTAAGTTCTGTATAGATGTTGTATCCCTCAGAACCTTACTCAACTTAAACCCTTGATGATCAACTGTCGCACCACATATGAGGCTCAATTCCTTAAGGAATGGGGCAACATCAAATGACAGGGGTGTTACTGGAAAAATCCCAAGTATCCCAACGAAGCTTCTCTAGTTTTGGAAAATCCCAGAGCACCTCAGGCTTTCCCAAGCAGCAGAAGTCAAGTTCAAGAAGACTAAGCTTCGAATCTGGTGCTTTAATCTTCCAAGCCGAGAGCCCCCCTGCATCACAGTTGTGGAGAGAGAGATGCTACAGCTGCTTGCAACAGTCAAATAACAGGTGGTGCAGGTCCCATTCAGCAAAACAAACATTGTATAGTTCAAGTTTTGAGAGGCAATGGAGCACACTAGGATAGGCACTTAAAAAGCCATCCACAGTACGAGCTTGCTGACGCATTTCCTCTTTGTAACAGTCGTCAGGCTCCTTCTCATCCACAATGGCCAGGTCTAAATCTTCTAAAGTCCCAATCTCAGTTGCTTGACTACGTAGAGGGCCAATGACATCCGAGTAAGTGTTGACCAGATAGAGCTTGAGCTGCAGCCTTGTGATGGTGGATTCGCTCCGGGGAGTAGCCAAGAAGCTAATGGCTGCTCTGGTTAGGGAAACCATTGCTTCGTCCATATGTCCAACTTCAATGGGGTTTGGGGGAGGAACAGATAGGAATTCTCTGACATCAATTGTGAGCTCACGGAGCAACCAGGGCAGGTGTTTCCACCCCGTGGATAAGATGCTTATCCTTGTGGCCGTAGCTATGTCAACTCTCCCTAGGATTAAGAGTAACACGTCGTCAGGCAGCATGCTGAGCCTATCTTCATCGTCTGATTTCTGAAAAGGGAAAAACAGAAGAAAACAGATTGAGACTTTGTAGTCCTGCTGGTGATAGTAGTAGCACAAAAAGAGCGTGAGCGTGAATGACTTGCCTGAGTGTATCCGTTATTTAGCTCCATGATGAATATTGAATAATTTGTGTGGCCTTCAGAACCCCTGAAGACTGAAGCTACGACCCTCAATAATTCGTTTTTTTAAGGTTCAATAATTCGTTTTTGAACTCCGGAATCCTCGAGGGCAACAATTTATATTCTCCCAAAGAACCAACATTGGAGTCGACTTTGAAAACAAATTCGAAATTGAATCGTACACGAACAGAAAACCTTGTCGTTTTTCCAAAGAACCAACTATGGGGTCGGATGATGGCAGGCAAATCTAACTTCGCTCTCTTTTCAGCCTGCGTGTTGAGTAATCGGCCTATAGCCTGTAATGGAGGCTTTAAAGTTTGGTTGGCATTCTGGGTGCGGATGGTTCTCAACGCTGTTTTGCTCCATTAGCTCGGATCCCTGGCCCTGGGTGATCGAAGTGATGGTCTGATGGAGGTTTGTTAGGGCCTATATATATAGTTTCCTGGGATGTTTAAAGCTGTTATCATTGTAATTTTTCACTGCTTAGGTAAAAAATTTCGGATATTCCGTGGTGGAAAAAAAAGGCAAGAACTATTCGGTAATAAACTTGAGAGAGCCAACTTGTTCATATTTTTTGGACTGAAAACCTTAAACCACTTGATCTTATTCTATAAACTACATATTCAGATAGATTCCATGAACCACGTCTCTCGCACTAAGAAAGCCATCCAAAAAAAACAAGATACACATAAAACCAGTATGAGAATAACTTTGCATCAAATTTTGCACGGGTATAAAAAGCAAAAGTGACAGCAAACAATGATGATCATAGTTACCGAAAATGATTATGTATTACATTTTGTCCAAAGAAATCCAATGTTAGAGAGAATCTATGCATGATGTGCCACATAGAAACAGGTACAAGACAGACTATTTTCAGACACCAAAAGTTATATCAACATGGCAGCAGGCCATATGTCCAATAAGTTGGTTGACTACCATGCCTTGATCCTCCTTGCCCTTCGGGTATACTCGTTCTGCTGGTAATCTTTCAGATCGAGGCAGTACACCCATCTGCTCGCAGTCCTCACAAGGTGAGTAATCTTTCAGGACAAGAGTTCGTAAGTTGGGAGCTCGTTCAATCACAGCTCTAATAAATGTCATCTGTTGATCCATCGGACTAAACCCAGTAATCTGTACTTCTTTCAATAGCCACTCCTTACCATTTGTGAACTCAGACAAGTTCCATGAAGGATTTGTCCTTTCACCATAAGTTTTTCCTTTAGCCTCAGGACCCATTGTGCATGGATGTTCCCATATATATATTCAAAAGCAAACAGATTGTTATCGTAGACTATTTTTGAGTCTCAGATTTTTTTTACAGAAAAAATATCTCTAATTTCCAAACACTCCACTCCTTGAAGTTAAATCTCAACCAGAGGAGTTCAATGAGTTAGAAACTATTTAAGCTTTCTTCAACGGAAGTCATGTTTGCAACAGTTGAGGTAGATTTGGGCCATCGTGATTCAATCACTGCCACCTAAGAGCATCTCCAAGAGTTCCCAAGAAATTTTTCCCAAAACCATGGAGTTTTTCAACTCGCCAAAAAGTATTGGGAGGAATAAATAAAACCATCTTCAACAGTTTCCAATAATTCACTCCTAAAATATAGAAGATAATTTTACATCAGAAATCTTATACTATTTCTAAATTATCCTAACCACTTTTATATATTTTCTCTCTCTTGTACATTTACATCAGGAACCTTTCCTACTCTTTTTTTTTCTCACGCCCTTCCACCTTAGATTGTCAGGCAGATACGTGCGTCTTCTTCTGCGCGGATATATCCGCTCTTTCAATGATGTTTTCCAAGTGCCAAAAGATTGAGAAGTGGGATTGGGAACTCTTGGAGATGGGTTTTTTCTATTCTTGCCAAAAATACTAGATTGGGACACTTGGAGATGCTCGTTGGGCTTGATGGCTAACTACAATCTCCTTTTGCTTAATACAAAAAAAAAAGGATAAGACAACTCCTACTTTTGTTTCTTCATTTCTTAGACTTGTTAGCACCTAATTCTAGTGAAGCCCTAGTGATATCTAACCTTTAATTGGACCAGAGCAGAGAAAAGGAGCAGCTGAGTGCTCCTCATGTAAGCACACGCTACCCAGCCCAAGTTGTTGTGGTTCATCTGTGTGCGGTACGCACACTCTCTGCAAAAGGAGTAGCTGATGGCCTGTCAGTGACGAGGCCGCACATCCCCATCCTAGCTTGGCTTAGAGAAGGATAGGAATGAGGTAAAAGAAGGGCAATTTATATAGAGGAAATATATTGTTATGCAACACAGGTCAAGGTTTTCAGTAACTCAAATCACATACCCAGCAATTTTCTGTTACTCTCTAGACCAACTGGTTCAGAAAAATAGGCAAAGATTAAGATGGCCACCTCAGTTTCTATATCACTACATCTTCAAGGGAATGTACATGATGATGGTTGAAACTGAATAAAAATATAAAGGTTTCAACTGAACTTATTTTATGAAAGAGAACAAGTTCAGTACGAATGATGAGAAAACAAATAGACGTACCTCAACATCAAATATCTCGACAGATGGTGCAGCTTCAAGGAGAACTATTGTCCAAAGCAGATCAAATTCAACAAATATGTCATGCAGGCATAGCTTCTTTAGCTTACTGAATACGGTGCAGAGTTGTTTTCCTTCAGGTTGCATCCAAAGCTGATAAAACAGAGAAGCACACAACAAGAATGAGAAATGTTGCTGCCTTTTTGACTTCTTGTAGAGGTCAACTGCACTCAATTAAGTCAATTTCTTTATCATATAGATGTTGCTTATGTACAATCACTAATAACATTGTCTCATTTCGAAGTAGTTCCAAACAAAATGAAGAGAAGCACGAGCTAAATTGTCTGATATATACAACAATAACCAAATATTTTAAGTGTCAATTTACGTATAATATTGAACACAGATACATGTTGAAAAATTATAAAACAAGAGGGCAGCTACAGTATAATAATCCATAAAGATTGAAAAAATAGTGCATGAGAATCAGCACGGATTTATACCTTTTCTCCTTGGAAATTCAATGTTAGGTTATGTACCATGGTACCTCTTAGAACCTCACTAAGGTTGAATCCTTTAAAATAAAATGCTGCACCAGATAAGAGCTGCAATTCCTTGAGGGCTGGAACAACACCAAATGACAAGGGGGCATTTGGACACATCCAGCCATCCCAGTGCAACCGCTCTAATTTTGGAAGGTGTAGCACCTCAAGTTTCCCCAAGTAGCACGTTTCAAGCTCTAGCACACTAATATTTGAATCCGGTGCATGTATCTTCCATGCCGGGAGTCCCCCAGTATCACAGTTGGACAGGTACAGATACCGTAGTTGCTTGCAACAATCAAACAGGAAGTGATTCATGTCCCGTTCAGCAAAGCAAATGTTATATAATGAGAGTCTTGTCAGGCAATGCAGCACACCAGGATAGGTATTGAAAAAACCATCCACAGAACAAGCTTGCTGAAGCATATCTTCATCATTGCAGTCCTCAGGCTCCTCCTTACCCAAAACAGCAAGGTCTAAATCTTTAACGGTACCAACAGCAATTGCTTCACTAAGTAGAGAGCCAATGATGCCTGAGTAATTGTCCACCAAATAGAGCTTAAGTTGCAGGCTTGAGATGATAGCCTCACGCTGACGAATAGCCAAGAAGCTCCTGACCGCTTTGGTCAGCGAGGCCATTGCTCCATCAATATGTTCAGCTTCAATGGGGTTTGGGAGTGGGGAAGGTAAGAAATCTTTAGCATCAATGGTCAGCTCTGGAAGCAACCATGGCAGATGCTTCCACCGTGATGACAGGACACCTCCCTTGCAGCCGTGGCTATGCCGACTCTCCCCAAGATGGACAATAGAACATCGTCAGTCAGCGAGCTGAGCCTATCTTCATCCTCAGCTTTCTGCAACAAAACATATGATTCGTGATGATGTTAGTGAGAAACTAGTTTGAAAAGGTCACAGCATTAAAACAAACTATGCTTGTGTCTTCCTCTGGCATCTAATAAAGCAGGCTCAATGCCTACTGTTTCAAGTGTTACAGCATGCAGCAGTTCACATAGAAACATGAATTAACTATATCCCGGTAAAGCTAATTATAATAGTAAAAGAATCAGAACAGAACAGAGGTGGGAAAGATGAGAGGCGAAGACTTACGTCAATGTGTCCATTATTTAACTCCATGAATAAGAGTAAGGGTAATGTATATGGACTAGTAATCCATAAAGATGGGTCCGGTGTCAACTGACCATAGTAATGTATTTTGCTACAACGTGGAGTCCATAGAGGTGGGTTCCGCTTGGTATAAAATAATGTTAAAGAAATCAATCATCCCTTCCTAGGGGGCAGCAAACCAGCCAGATGACTGGGAAAGAGAATGAGAGAATTCCTTATTTGACACTGAAGAAATGATCCGTTCCTTTCTTGGTCCTCGAAAAATTTTCGTTTCCTATTTGACACCGACTTCAACTTTCGTTCCTTCCGTGACACTCCGTCGCGTTTTCCATCCGGCCACCGTTACCTGCGCTGTGAAAAGACGATTTTGCCCCTATGGGCCCCACCACGTCATCCTCCTCCAGGCAGTCGCCTCGCTCCCTCCGTCTCCCCGCAGTCGCGCAGACGCGCCCGTCCCTCCCGATGGCGCAGACACTAAAGCTACCCATATGCTTATGGACTACCCATAAACAATAGATTTCTATTGTTTATGGGTAGTCCATAAGCATATGGGTAGCTTTAGCTATAGACTGCTCTATGGACTACTCACGCAATGTTTCAGCCGGTCTGCAGTGAATATTTAAATGCCTATGAACTACTTCTAAACCACATTGTGGTTGCTCTAACAGCGCAGGCGGGGAAGCACGTGGAGAGCTCTAATGATGGCAAGAACACAAGGCTTTAAGTTTATTTATTATCGAATCATAAGCTACGAACAAAGCCTGGTCTGTTAGTCCGAGTCGGCGAGCAGCGCGAAACGACTGCCAACCTTCCGACCACTACAAGGCATCGGTTCCCCCAATTGCTTATACTTATTTATACCCGGGCAAGAAAAAAATCGATCAAACTCCAATCCAATCGACGATGAGATCACTGGAGGATGCAGCTCCAATCGGCGGGCGGCGAAGGCTCGGGTGCCCGGAGCCCCGGAGGCGGAGCGGAGGGGAGTAGCGATTAGCGAGGGTTCCTGGATTCGGTTTTGGCTCGACCGCTCGACACTCTCGCTATGACGCTACTACGGACGGCTGGAAATCGGGAATTTGGGATAGGGAACGTATCTGGTGCAATCTAACCACCCCTTGCAACTTAAAAACTACGAATCAGGGTCACAAGATGCTAATCCAATAGACAGGGTTAGAGGTGAGATTATTTTGCGCTTAAGCCCTCCACCAGTCAGCCACTTTTCCAATACCCCCTACCCCGCCGTCTCGTTTCTAGTTGGAAAAGTGGCCGGCTGGTGGGGGGCTTAAGCACAAAATAATCCCACCACTAACCCTATCCATTGGATTAGTATCTTATGGCCCTGATTCCTAGTTTCCAAAGTTGCACGGGGTGGTTGGTTTGCACTAGATACGTTCCCTTTGGGATACGCCTCCCCTAGTCGCCTTGGATCTTCTATCTATATTTTTTTTAAGAAACCGGGTAAATATATTACATAAACATCTTAATGTTTACACCATATCTTACAAAGACCCTCGCGGGAAAATAAAACTACAACCTAGTCCTTGCAAGATCATGGTCCTACCGGTTGACCTCGTTGCCGGTGATCGGAGCAATCTGCAGCTTGAAGCCGACCCCCTTCCGAACGAAAGCTCTTCACAATTTTTCGATGCCACCATGAGTCATATATCGAGTGCATCGACATGTTGTAAGCTCGTTGAACGTCCTGGCTAAAGAATATGGCCGCCGGCCATCACATCGCCGATAAAACAAGGAATCTGGCGCCTCAAAGCACTAGTAGAGAACAGACCTTTCATCCGAGGCCAAAATGAGCTCTAGTCCCGGCATTTTTTGCGCCCGGGACTAGAGAGACCTTTAGTCCCGGTTGGTGTCTCCAACCGGGACTAAAGGTCCCGCTAACAACGGGCATCTCGCGCAAGACGATGGCGGGGACCTTTAGTCCGGTTTGGAGACACCAACCGGGACTAAAGGTGAATTTTACTCCCGGTTGGAGCCACCAACCGGGACTAAAATCCTCAACCTTTAGTCCCATTGGTAACACCAACGGGACTAAAGGTCCCCGATGGGTTAGTTCAAAGGGAAGCATCACATCCATTGTTAGATGTGTTGTGTAGGTGGGGTGGCAAGCTACGCTGTGAGGCAATGCATGAGGTCTTGGGTTCGAATCTCACGGGACGCAGCGGTGGGAGGCATTATTATTTTTAAAGCTGGGAGGACCTTTAGTCCCGGTTGGTGTTATGCACCGGGACTAAAGGTCCCCTTTAGTTCCGGTTCCCGACCCGGGACTAAAGGACCCCCCTTTAGTCCCGGATGCTTACTCCCGGGTGGGGAACCGGAACTAGAGGGGATTCTCCACCGGGAGTAAAGCCCGTCCCTCCACTAGTGAAGGCCACCAGCAGCCCTGACTCACCGGAGAAAGATACAACCCGAAGGGAAGCAAACCCACCAGAGAAGGTGGGATCTAAACCTACCCCGGTTTCTCTACGAGTTGGTAGACATACCTTCCAAAATTTCTCCATATATACATTGTCGTATTCTCGATTACAGGTCCAGCACTATCGTTGGCACCATAGGCACCAACGGCACCACCTCATATAGCACCAGGACTTGCTCACCATGAACACAGGCAATAGTAGAGAAACTTTGGAAGGGACAAAAGCTTACCGACAACATCTCCACCGGCAAGAAATCCAACCTTATTATGGGTAAAACTAATCTATTAGAAAAGGATATGTACATCATCCACCGGATCCGCCGTTCCCCAAGCACATCGGTGCTAAAAGGCCACCGACGGCGAGGAGAAGCAAGCGAATCTGGCGGGGAGTCAAGAAATCACCAGCACATCGCCTCTCTTTACTGTTGGGGAACGGACGCTTTGCGATTATTCTGACAGCACGTTATGTAGTAGTAGGCCAGATTGGACAAGGTCCAAACTAACAAAACAGCCTCACAGGCCCAACAGTTCTGTTTCTTTCTTAATGGCTCCTTTTGTATTCGTCCAAGCAATACCGGTGTTTTTATTTGTCCTTTTGAAAACAAATATTTTTGTAAATAAAGCATTGGATTTCAGAATTGTTGTGCCTTCTATGACGGTCAATCACCGTGTGAGCTATAGGGAATGTCTGCCAGAGGCCAAAGCTGCTGACCGCTGGTGAAGTTCAGTTTGGTGTCTCTTTGGTCTTCGCTGGCATTTGGATTCATATAGGACATACAATATAAAACATTTTGTTTCCAAAAACTATCTAAACATTGCAGGAGATCATGTCTCCCATAAGTTTCTTGAACATCATGTCCCGCTAACTCTTATCCTCTGGAAATGCATGTTGTGGTGATAGTCTTTCAAAACGAGGGAGTGCAGCTACCTCCTCACACATGTACCTCCTCGCAGTCCTCGTGCTGCTAATCATTCAATACAACTCTTTGTAGACCGGAAACTCGTTGTATCACGACCCCTAAAATGGTCATTTGTTGCTTCACCAGACTAAACCACTAGCCTGGACCCTCTTTGGATAGCCGTTCCTTGTGGCTTTTGAACTCAGATGCCTTCCATGAAAAAATGTTCTTTTACCAAAAGTCTCCCGTCTTTCTTCGGTATCCACTATGCACCGAGATGCTCCATGCTCTAAATTCAAATGGAAGCACAATTTTATATAAAAATGATAGTAGTCCATCATTAGTCCATGGTTAGCCTATTGTCCCAAAGAATTTAGACAACTAAAGTTTAATCCAAAGCTTTTTTGATACATGGACTGGCTAGTTGGTATGGACTAGAGTTGAGCCAAATCTGTATTAGTGTGTGTGTTGTGACAGTTGGAGGAAGTATCGCTTTTTGATACATGGACTGGCTAGTGGGAGATGTATCGCTGCAGGATTATTGGAGGAAGTAGACAACACGCCCATGCCCACGACGCAGCGGCGACACCCCATTGTTAGGGTATGGAGGGAGCATCTCCAACCTTAGAAAAGGAAGCCCAAGGGTGACGGTGGCTGAACCGACGATTGTGGTGGTTTGACCAAGCGAGGCGGCAACCGTAAAGGGGGAGGGGGGCAAGTCCTCCTCTAACTCCAGTTGGGATTAGGGGAGGGTGGGAGCTGGACAGTGGGGTTGGGTGGTGGCAGCATGCCCGCAGCGAGGCGTCGCTAGCCAGAGCTAGTGGGCGAGATAGGCGGCTCAGGGTTGAGTCATCCGATGTGGATTAGGGAACAACGGTGGTGATGGATCAGATCGGTAAGGGTATGGATAGGAAGGAAAATGGAAGGAGATGAATATACGTGCGATACGAGTATAAGCGCTTAGTGTCAGAAAAGGACTCAGGGTTGAGTCCTCTCGTTTGGATGTCTTAAGCTCAACTCTAGATAGGACCCTTAGCTAGACTATCGTATGGCTGAAGCCTGGTTTGGGCGGGCTAAGAGAACCAAATGCCAGATTTTTTTGCTTAAGGACGACCAAGTTTAGCCATATAACCAACCGTAATAAACCTGCGAACCACACACGACAACAATGTCCTTTGCCGGCCCTGGGTCCAAACTCCTTCGCGTGCGCGCGCAGCTTCTATGCACGTCGCGTGGCTGTTTGTCCGTTCATGGACCCTGGCTATTCGTCCGTTCGTGTGTTGGAGCCACGAGAAGAAAGGAGCTGAGCCAGAGCCACAGATGAGATAGGAGCCATGCGTGCGCGAGGCAGCTGGCCAGCGACGGAGCTTGCGTGAATGCGTAGAGGGGCCAATTCAAAGGTACACTGCTACAGTATTATTAATAGTAGTATAGACAATTAGAATTATGTGGAAAATTTTTTTTTTCAAGTTCTATTTATATATACTGTAATGAACAATTAAAATTCTGTCAAAAAAGAATGAACAATGTACGGATTTACATACTTGTAAGTTGTGATCCACTAATCAGCAACAGCAAGTATGATACGAGAGATATAGAAATTAATTACATACATGCAGCGACATGCAAACCAATAGAATGCAGCCGGAGCGAGAGGAGGCAGGACCCAGTTTGGCCCACATAGCTCCGTCCGTGCAGCTGGCATTCATCGAAGCTGTGCGCGCACGCGGACGAGTTTGGACCTAGGTGCATCTAATTTTGTTCCTGCCGTACCAGCTGCCACCACACCTCAGGAGACCGAGGAGTCTGGAGAGTCAAGACGTGACATTGTTAGAGCAAGTACAGTATGGGCTTATAGCCAAACGCTAATGTGAAGGAGAGAAGAGATGAGAGATGAAAGCTTAGCTCTCATGCAAGCAACAAATAAAAAATTGACTCTTATGCAAGTAATAAGCTAGACCTATATAGCAAGCGTTGTGAGAAGAAAAAAAAAGAATTTTTTTCCTTAAGACAGATAGAAGACACCTATTATAAACTTAACTCTTATAACTTGACTACTCTCTCTGTCCCAAAAAAAATCACGACATGTCTAGATTAAAAGTTAGAATTACGTTTTTTAAAGTACGGAGGGAATAATAGGTAAGCACTTAGCTCTATTATTAACGTTGCTCTTACCGTTGGCTGCTATCCACCACCCATTCACCCATTCCATTACCGCACTGCACCTAACCAATCCTGCACAGCAAAGAGTTGTTAAATGTTCCCCCATAAGGGTCCTAGTCCATTTTATATTAAGGTGATGTTTAAATGCAGGGAGTAAAGTTTAAAGATATCAAATTAGATGTCACATTAGAGTGTTTTGATAGTAGTAATAAAATAAATTACAGAGTCCTCGGTAATTCGCGAGACGAATTTATTAAGCCTAATTAATCCATCATTAGCACATGTACATTGTCAAAACATGGACTAATTAGGCTTAAAAAATTCGTCTCATAAAGTAGTCATAATCTATACAATTAGTTATTTTTTAGTCTATATTTAATACTCCGCGCATGTATCTAAACATCCGATATGATAAAAAGTTAGGGAGTAAACTTTAAGAGGATGAACTAATAAGCCTAAGTGTTTGATAGTCTGTGGCCTCAAACTATGAACTGATGAGTATTGTTCGCGCTCACCATGGTCTCTCAAACCCAGTGATTCTGATTCGGTCAGTTAAAATATTCACAGTTTCACACTAATTAACTCCTACGAAAGAAAATAGTACTACTATCTGTCTACATACCCAGAATATCAGGGATTCACCATTTCTACCGGCTAAAAAATGGATAAATAAATTTAGAAAACTAGAAAAAGAAAATTCGATCTCCAGAAGACTCCTAATTATCCAGCCGTACGAGCCGCCGCCTCATCCGGATCAGCTCGAGCAGCGCATTCCGGTTCCGGTCACGAGTCCGTTTCAGTCCACACCGACAAGCGGCGGCACACGAGGAGAAAAGAACCGCCGCGCCGGGCGGAAGCTCCAGCTCCAGCTCCGTCGTCTCACTCACGCGCTGCCGACGTGCTGGTGCGGGAACCGCGGCGTGGGCACGAGCGGGTCGCGGCCCTCCTGCATCTTGCTCAGCCGGTCCGGTATGGTGCCGTCGAAGAGCCTCGACGTGGGGTTCTCGGCGTAGCAGACGTAGTAGCAGCCGACGCACGCCTGCGGCAGCGCCATGCCGATGCGGGTCATCAGGTACCCGACGTAGAAGGCCAGCAGCGACACGGTGGCCGTGTAGTGCCGGTGCGTCGCGAACGCCCACGACCCCGCCAGCGCCACGCACAGCGCGCCGCTCGTCACGCCCGTCAGGAAGCACACGGAGCTGGTGATGTCCGAGTCCACCAGCGCCGCCATCCCGGGAAGCGCCTCGAACTGGCCCCACGTGCTCCGGGACGCCTGCACGAACCCGCGCCCGTACGCCGCGATCTGCATCATCTTGCTCGTCAGTGCCATGGTTCCAGTTCGAAGACGAAGACCAGACCAACAGTGCGCTCGTGCTTACGTGGACGAAGGCCCAGCTGTTGCCGAAGCTGAAGATGGCGTTCATGACGTGGAGGCAGCAGTGCGCGCAGGAGAACATGAACTCGTCCTCGCCCTCCAGGAGGTTGAGCCCGCGCGCCAGGATGCGGAGCGCCTCGATGGTGGGCACGAACAGCGACCCCAGGCAGGCGCTGCCGAGGTTGTACGACAGCGCGCGCTGGAAGCTGAACTGCACGCTCGACTGCATGCCGCGCAGGTAGTAGAGCGCGATCACCCGGCTCGCCGTCAGGTTCGCCACGTTCCGCATCACCTCCGCGGTCCACGCCAGGCTCACCACCAGCCCAAAGATGGTGAGCCCGGGGAAGCGGAAGTTCACCGCGCCGATCACAGCCACGCACCACACGGAGATCCATGCGAAACCCGCCGCCACCATCAGGTACGCGGGCCCGTTCAGCCCACGGAACTTGTCCACTGGCTTCACCGCGTGCTCGAACACCCGCGCGGTGAAGCCCACGCGCCGCGTCACCCAGCACGCGTACAGCCCGGTCCCAATGGAGAACACCACCATCGCGACGCCCAGCCCGACGGTGGCCAGCATGGAGAAGCACATGAGCAGCGCGCCCACGGCTAGGGTCACGGCGAAGCTGGACCAGAGGATGACGCGCACCATGGCGCGTGGCCACGCGCGCACGGCCTTCTGCCACGCGAAGGCCAGGACGATGCTGAGCGCGACCGCGCCCTCCACGGGCAGCAGCCAGTTGCCCAGAAGGCTGCGCTCGCGCCGCGCATTGTGTGACCGTGGGTGCTGGCTGATCTCCTGGACGGTCTTGAACACGAAGAACCCCATGGCGAATGCCGCGGCGGCGAGGTGGAGCAGGAAGAGGCACAGCGTGATGCCATTGGTGTACTTGCGTGAGTTGAGCGACGGAAGCGGCCCCTGCAATGACAAATAATAAGTTATTCAGGGTTTTTTTTCGTTGCGCCTCCAGTCTTTAGCCATTGTCCCATCGGATATTTGACATGGAGTATTAAATAGACTAATTATAAAACTAAATGCACAGATTGAGATTAATTTACGAGATGAATTTATTAAGCTTAATTAGTCTATGATTTGATAAGGTGGTGCTACAGTAATATGTGCTAATGACAGATTAATTAGGCTTAATAGATTCGTCTCGCGGATTACTGACGGATTCTGTAATTTGTTTTTTTATTAGTATCCAAACACCCCATACAACATTCGATGTGACACCTCTCAAACTTTAGCCCCAACTCCAAACACCCTCTTAAAATGGATGTCGCTGGCCACTACAGCTTGTCAGCTTCAGGCTTAGATTAGCACGAAGTCATATTCAGATTCAGAGATTCGATCCCATGCAGTGGTACATTCTTGATGATATTTTAGAGGGAATATTAGTGCCTAAGAAACCCATGAGTCACGCTTGTACCTAGCTAACCAGAGCTATGTCGTTAGGCGACATTGATTAATAATTCGTGTCAAACACTACCACCTATGCTCCTTTTTCTATTGTGGGAGGTTGAGCACTTTGAGTTCTTATATAAAATTGCTTATTAGTATGTTGTTCACCTCAAAAGAAAACAAGCACAAATTGCTTGTGCTGTTGGATATTCCATCAAGCATTACCCAGAGATTCAATTCCAAGTAGTGGTACATTCTTGATGATATTTTGGAGGGGATATTAGATGAAGCACGCATGTAACTAACCAGAGCTATACGTTAAGCGACATTTATTAATACTAAGAGCATCGTATCAAACACTACCGCCTATGCCCCTTTTCTATTGTGGGAGGTAGAGCACTTTGAGTTCTTTATATAAAATTGCTTATTACTTTGTTCACGTCAAAAGAAAACAAGCACAAATGGCTTGTGGTGTTGGATATTCCATCATGCATTATTTGGTCGTTGCCGGTGCAATGTTAGGCAACATTGTTGAAGCACCTAAGCCTAAGATTATTGAAGTACCTAAGCCTAAAATAGACATGAAAAGATCTCCCTTTTTTGTCCTTTTGACACCGAACAAATCTTGGAATATTAACAATGCAGTAGCAGTGTTGCAGGTAAACTAGTCTGCTTTCCGTCCGTTGTAATCAGAATCAAAATCAACTATCGGCATCAGCATATTCTCTAACCCTTTAACTAAGAGCTATCTCTATTGGAGTACTTTCAAATCCGTTCTGTCAATTGCAGCATAGTGATAGAATAATTCAGTGATTCTGTCAATGTGGTGTGGTATGGTGGAATAATTCAGAAAGCAAGCCAGCCTGAACTCCCAAAAGTGTCGAGTACAGGGCGGTGCAGACACACTCTACCAATTGGGCACCAAACAAAATTATTGTACTATCCTACTCGCCTACCAACCAGCCTAAATTGACACAGTCGGATCGCAATCAAGCACGCCCACATGTCCTAAAAAGACCGAGCCAATCCCACTATCCAAACCGAAAATCCTAATCAATTCAGGCGATCGAGATTTTATATACATACGTAGTACATATACAATAACAAAAGGAAATCAAGCAATTGGGCGTGGACGTTTCCCCCTACCTGCTGCGGAGGCTGCATGACAGGCTGGTACGCCGCCACCTGCGGCGGCGGCTCGACGGAGCCGGACGCCACCGACATGGGCGGCGGCGGCGCCTGCGTGGTGACCTGCAGCGGCGCCAGCGGCCGCTGCGCCTGCAGCCTCGCCGCCGCTTCCGGGGGCGGCGCCTGGTCCACGACGACCACCTTCTCCACCGCCTCCGGAGCCGGAGCCGGCGCCGCTCTCCTGACTGGCGCAGCCTCCTGCCGCGGCGGCGCCTGCACGCGTCGCACAGCGAGGACAACAAACCCATGAGCAGTTGAGCACACGGCGGCCGCAAGACCTCAAGAAGCAGCGAGCAGAGCAGACCGCGCGTTACTCGGGAAAGGAGCAATCTTTCGGGGAGCCAAAGGAAGAAAGAAACCGTACGGGGTTCTCGGCAGCGCCCATGACGCGCGTCCCGCAGAGAGCAGCCGCGCCCCTGACGCCTGGCTGCTCTTGGCGGACTGGAGAAGTGGACCGGAGGAATGGAGTTGTGGAGCGGTGGACTCGACTGGTGGCCTGGACCGTGGGTGGAGGAAGGGATGGGAAAGCGAGGCGAGCGAACGAGCGAGGATTTGGCTGCGGAAACCTGGGGACGGCGTACGTGTCTGCGTTGGCGAGAGGAGGGAGGGAGAAGGAGAGGCTGCGAGAGCCCCGATTTTTTTTTTTTTGTCTTTTTGAATTTTTTTACAAATATGTTTTTAGAGGTAAGATTTTAAAATCTGGATCTTTAGCTCGACGCCATCGTTGTTAGCGCCGAGCTTTTGGGCTCGACCCTGACGTGGCGGTGATTTGATAGGAAGCTCGACGTCGTAGATTTTGGCGCCGTGGTTACTGGCGCCAAAGCCTGTCTTACGTATGGGCCATAATTCTTTCTCTCTTCCTCTCTGTGGCAGAACCACCCGAAATAGCGTACTTACGAAGGCGCTTGTCTTCCATCAGACACTAAGCACCTCGAAAGTAACTACAGCGAGCGGTGTCCGTCGAGCACACCCTAACGGAGAACCCGAAAGATCCACATTTTTCCTAAGGATCCAATAATGAAAACGAGTTACAACACAAGTCTATCTCATACATTAGAGTTTCTTAAAAAGTACATTATTACAATACCAAATATAGAGTGCGGAATGATAAACAGCGGAATATTAAAAGATAACATCTAGCGATAAGATAACGAGGATTTCGCCTCGAGCCACCGGATGGATCCTCCACACAAGGAACTCCTCAAGCGTCACACCGCGAGGGGTAAATAAACCATGAGTACACAATGTACTTGCAAGACTTATCCGACAGTGGGAATACTTTCCCGACTCCAAGGAATATGCTAGGCTTTATGGTTTGCTGGTTCTCTTTTAGCAAAAAGCAATACTAATAGTGAGTCCTTATTGATACATTATTATCATCACCGTATTAAGTTTTCATCTAGTCAATCTATATAAGCATGTTCTACTTTCAAGCAAGAGTTGAGCAATCAGTTCCATTTCTTCTCCTTTCAACTTTCAGTTCTTACTACGGTGCTAAACCGCAGACAAGCCGTCTCAAGAATAACCCGCGATTCAGCGAATCAATATGCCCGGTGGGTGCCCGAAGACACAAGCCCCGCTTGTACCCTGTGCACAAGCAGGACTAACCCACCACTCTTTCTCGTCCGGGTGTCCGGTCCCCGTCAAACTTGGCATCCCGAGTCCGGACCATGCGGTGCAAGGACCTCCACCACCTCCTCTTCCCATCATCGGTCCGGAAAGAGCCGGATCCACGACAAGAAGCGACAAGCCTTCCCCTGCGCCCATACCCAAGTATGTGCTCGGGACAATAATCTGTGACTTGCCTAGAGTCATATGCAACGATCGGTCCTTAATCGACACAGCGGGGAAAAAGTGTAACCGGGCTATGCCCCTGTTGGCGCAGGACACAACCCCTCACACCCACCAAATACCAAATCCACATCCCCGTCCGGTCACCATTTTCCTTTCCATTATTTCATCATGATATCACAGTTTAAACACCTATTTGCGAGTAACGACAGGTTACTCACGCTATCGACATCCTGAGCATAGCAGCTACTCGACCTATACTAGTAGGACTCATGATGGATATATTTATGCATGTAGCTTCCATAAAATGCCTGTAACGTAAATGCATATCATATAAATATATTCGGATCATTTAAAAATAGGGGTTATGCACCGGGGCTTGCCTTGGGCAGGCGCGGTGTCAGCAAAGTCAGTGACGGGTGGCTCCGGAACGTCCTCCTGCACGAGGATCTCCTCGTACTCTTCGATGACTTCGTCGTACTCCTACTCGCCGAATGTCACGATCTCCAGTGGCTCGTCCTCTATATGCATGCAGTGATGATGATGCAATAATTAATATATAGGCAACCGCAACTCTTAAAATAAGAATACATCTACCAAGCTACTAAGCTAACTCTAATGACTAATACGCAAAGTTACCTATTATTCCCACTAAACAAGTATAAAACATTTCATGTATTATCTTAGCAACTAAAGGCATCCTTATTGTTAATATCAATTTACTATATAAATAATAAAACAAGGTGCACTAGCTACCATGCATCATAAAAATTCATTCTCTAAATAACCATAATAAGCATTTCAAAATAATAAAGTAACCCTAAAGGTATCACTGAACTATACGAACTAATTACACTAACGGATAAATCATGAATTTAGTAATCTAACAAAATTTATTTCACAATCAATAAATAAATTCAAATGAGCTCTAGAGATGAAGAAAATGATATTATTGGAGAAGGATAATCATGCTATTAGACTTGATGACTTGCACATGACTGTGGGTCTAGAAATACTAGATGAGACCGCATGGTCCGAGAAAATAATAGAGGAGGATGAAGGAATTCTTGTAGGCTAACTACCTCGGAATTGAATGAAGTGCCTCCTACGGTGATCGATGAGCGGAGGCAATGCAAGATGAGAGACACCTGGGGAGCTTAGCAATTGCTTGCCTGCGTGGAGCGGAGCGAGAACCATATATATAGCTTGGTTGTGGGTGGTCATGACAAGCTAGGTAGTCTGGAAGCACCAAACGAGTTGGCGTGGTTGTCCTCTGGCTCCGCGTTGCGTGTCTTGGTGGTGTGGTCTTTGGTCATGACAGAATTAATTCAAGAATGAACTTTGAGTGGTCTTGGACTTACGAGCACGTCAGGACTGGAGTGGGCTTTGGGTTGAACGTGCTTGGCGGTGGGGTGCTGGTTCATTCATGCAGGTCAAGGAATTAATGGAGGAGGAGACCACATGTCAAGGAAACATTAGAGAATAAGAAGATCAATTGTAAACTAGCTACCTCAGCTGATTGTAGCTCAGGGAGAAATCGATAGACGCAGCTCTCTCGGGCAAGAAACGTAAGAACTTGATTTGAGAGGGACGAAACAAGTGAGCAATGAGAACGAGATGGCTCGGCTGCTCGGCGTGTCCCTTTTAAAGCAGGGACGCAGGAAATGGAGAAGCAAAGGCGCGACAGCAACGTGTCGTAAGATTAGTGGCTAACTAGCTTGCTTAAAGGCAATAAAATGTCGCGGGAACGACGTGTTTGCTCAGGTGAACAGTGTTTTCCACGGTGCTATAGTGTTTCCTTCGGAGCTACAATGTTTTCCACGCGTTAACAGTACCTTCTGCGCTAATGCAGTTCTGTCGTGTTGAAAATCTGCTCTGGTACCGTTCTGACATGTTGAAACTCCTGCTGCTACAGTGCTGTGTGAGGAAAGGGTGCGTGCACCGTGTTTGCAGAGTAGTGAGCGAGCGGCATGCTCGCCGGTCGAACTTGTGAGTGAGATTAATGCGTAGCGTGTGCGACACACTACGGCAGTGATAGCGCGTGTAATGCACCGGTAATTTGCAAGGTGATTAGCAAGCGAAGTAAAGGCGGGATAATTAGAACAACGAGAGATGATGAGGCGTCGCGTCAGCGAGATTGATGGAGATATAAATCTTACCAAGTGGTATGCTAATAATTAGTGAATAACAATAATTTATCATTTGACTTTGTGGCTAAGGAGCTCTCACGTGGAGAGAGATGACGTGCCGGAAGGACAACTTGGACAAGGAATAAATTAGAGCTCAATTTGAGAATTAGTGCAATAAAATTTAATTTCTCATTTACCACATGCAATAATACATAAACATGATGCTCATGACATGGTTTAGTATTTTGATTAAGACGTAACACCGAGGGTGTTACAAATCTACCCCCCTAAAATAAAATCTCGACCCGAGATTTCATGTGCCTAGTGTGAGAAGAAGGTAGGAAATACATTTCGATGTAGCAACTAACTATCAGAACCATTGAGGAGATGGGGGTAATGCTTCAATAGGTAACTCTCTTGTTCCCACGTGGCTTCAGCCTCAGAATGATTTTGCCATTGTACCTTGTAAAACTTTATCACCCTATTCCTGGTCACTCTCTCCTTCTCATCCAAAATTTTTATAGGATGCTCCACATAAGACAGATCAGGTTGGAGCGGAAGTCCTTCTATTTCTCTGATTCTTCAGAACTCGTAGGCATTTCTTGATTATGAGGCGTGAAATACATTGTGAACTCGCCGAGAGAATTTTAGGGAGTTGAGAGCGATAAGCAACGGGACCACACTCTTTGCAACACCTTCTATGGACCCACATACCGAGGGGCTAACTTGCCATGGACACCAAACCGATGTACCCCTCTCAAAGGAGATACCTTGAGATACACATAATCTCCGGTTTGCAAATTCCAAAGGTCTTCTTCGTTTGTCTCTGCGTAAGTTTTACATCGACTCGAAGTGACTTCAAGTGTTCACGAATTATATTTACTTTCTCTCGAGCCTCCTTTATGAAATTCGGCTGAAGTACCCACGGTCTCCTACCTCAACCCAGTTTAGTGGCGCCCTACACTACATCCATATAAAGCTTCAAATGGTGCCATACTGGATACTCTCATGATAGTCAAGTTATTATAAGAAAATTCGCTAGCTTCAAACACTGATCCCACTTCTCAGGAAAAGAGATGGTACAAGCCCGCAACATATCCTCGAGCACCTGGTTCACCCTTTCAGTTTGACCATCACCGGGATGGTATGCCGAGCTTCGAGAAGGCGAGTACCCAAACATTCCGGAGTTTCTCCCGAAACGAGAGACAAAACTGACCCTCTATCGAGAGATGATGGTGCGAGGAACTCCATGTAGGGTCACAATCCGATCAAAGTATAACTCCGCATACTTCTTGGCATTATATCTAGTGTCCACCGGAAGGAAGTGGGCAGACTTGGTGAGACGGTCCACAATGACCCAAATAGAATCAAAGTTCGAGGAGGTGCGGGGTAAACCCACAATGAAATCAGGAAAATATCCTCCCATTTCCAAATAGGAATGGGCAAAGGGCTGCATATATCCGAG